CGAAGGTAATATTCAAAATAGGCTTCCAGCTAACCACTCTGATAGACCGCTTGGCTACTTTAAAGGCAGAAGCTCATTTCTTCTCAAACACTAACAAAATTTGGAGACTGTTTCTGGAGAAAGTTCAAACAAGTACAGAATTGTTGTAAAGAGACCTCAGGAAAAGTAACCTCAAACATAGAACTTGCCCACTGAAGACCTTCTCACAGTAAATGGATTTGAGCATGAAATTTGTTTGGGGAGTTGGAAGAAGATGTTTAAAGTTCATGAATTTACCTAACATCACACCTTCAGTCTTCCCTAATCAAGTTTTTAGTAGTTTAAATGATTATTAAGTATCTCTTACGGGATTATATTTTTCCCTGATTAGATGACAAATCAAATATTCATCATTAAATTGTGATTAAAATGGATAATTTGCAAAAAAAAATGTTAATAATTTAAATCACTGTGGACTTATTTTAGGGAATTAAAGGATCAAAACACAAATTTAACTGGTGGCAAAGAGGTAACATTGATTTCCTTATGTTGGCTTCCCGTGTTTTTGCGTTGGCCAGAGAAACTGCCTAGATTGTAGCAGGTACCCTCTTGGTTCCTGTGACCAGCCTTTGAATAAAGGTTCAAGGGCCCCGGTGCCAGGATTATCTCCTTTGCTCCCATAGCCCTCCCCTCAGTCCAGACCAGTGGCCCTCTACTGGGGACAACTTTACTCTTCAAGCGGGACATTTAGCAACATCAGGAGACATTTTATGAGTTACAGCAGGGAGGAAGAAAGGAGATGCTACTGGCATCTAGTGGGTAGAGGCCCAGAATGCTGCTAAAAATCCTACATACACACAACAGCCCCCACAACAAAGAATGATTGGGCCCAAAATGTCAATAATGCCAAGATCAAGAAATCTGGTGCAAGTATTAACATCTCCTGGGGACATATCTGAGGGGTCCAGACAGTTCCAGAGCAGGGAGTGTCTTTGGCTTGATGTCAGGGGCCTGATGCATCTATCACTTACTAAGACTTTACCCACATTGCCCAAATAAATCATGACAATAGCCCACAAGAGCCCTAAGAGCCTCTGAGCATCCTTTACACAGAGGCAGATACTAAGGGCCAGACAAGCAGAGTGGCTGACCCAGGCCTCACAGCTAAAATGCAGCCGTGCCGGGACTCAGAACCTAAGTCAAGAGCCTTCCTCATGGACCCCTCGCAGCAGTTGACTACTGTGCCGGGGATCCTAGCAGGGCAATCTGTGAGTGCTTAACACCCTCAGCCCCGCAGAAACACGAATTCTGCAGCATTCTGAAAAATAGCATTGGTGTTAGCTTCCCCCCCCAACCCCATTTTGGATTTGGAATGCATTTTTGCCACAAAGTGCTTATGCATTGGAATGCCAGGGTACAAGCAGGGGAAAGTGGAACAGTTGGACTTTAAATAGCTAGACACTCTCTGCAGCACAGTGAGCAGCTGCCCAAGGTCTGTGCTCTTTTCTTTGACTTTCCATCCTCTCAGCCAAGAGCTCGGAGGACTGGAGAGGTGCCAGAACTATGTGGCCAAATGTGAATCCAAAGAAAACTGCAAGGTGTGCCCCAAAGCTGTGTGTGCAGTGCTCCCTCCCTCTCCAAGCACCGCAAAGACCAAACCTTTCCAGGGGAATTCCCTCCCTTTTCCTAAGCTCGAGGTACTTCATCATTGATCTGCCAACCCCATTTCCTGGAACTCCATGGCCACACACACTGAGGGACGCTACCTCTTTGATTCACAGGAATTGTGGAGTCCACAAATGTCAGATGCACAAAGACTAAAATATGGAGTGCCCAGCAGGTATAAAACCCAGAGAGGGGAAGTAACTTCTTCAAGGCCAAATAGCAGGGTAGGGCAGATCCAGGCTTCCTGGCTCTAGATTCAGTACACTTTTCTCCATGCCACACTGTCCCCAAAGGGACCCAGTCACCCTCAAGAGATCGTATGGCTGACCTTACTGGTAAGAGCGTTCTGAGACCCAGGAACTAGATAGACTAAGATGAGTTGAGACACCTGTGTACCCAAGAGTGAGCACCTTCTTTAATTGTGCCTCCCTCAACTTTCCCTAGTCCCAGCCCCACGGATGGTGGCGAGAGCAAACACTTCCCCCCATGCCAGCCGCACACACACACACACACACACACACACACACAGCCAGGCCACAGGAGTGAATGAGACTCAGACTCCGCCACAAAGAATCCAAGGTCAGCTGGGGTGTGAGACATATGTGAAACCAGCGGCTACAAAGCTATATACTAAGGGCCCAGGATAGAATGAGGCCGAAAGCCTAGGACAGCCCAGAGAGGGGGCATCAAAGGTTTCCAGAGCAGGTAAAACTCGAATTTTGAAAGCTACAGAGGACTTAGATCAGGAATGCAGGGAAGGCATTGTGGGCACATGTGCAGAGGCAAGGGACAGCAGTGCGTATCTGGGGACCTCGGAGAAGACTGACAGAGAGTGGAGGAGGGTGATGCTGGGGAAGCGGGTCTGGACGGAGAGAGCCCGGCCTTGCATGCCACGCTGGGCAGAGTGAAGTTTACCCCAAGTATTTGCTTTGTCTTCCTGCATTCAGCATCTTGGTCTCCACAACTGTAGCCACACCTTTTCTCTCAGACAGAAGGCTGATCTATCTGCTTGGGTGATTCCTAAATACATGCGCTCACAGCAGAAAAGAAGGAGTGGCCTGCCTGCATGTTTCTTCTGTGGCACGTGCGCAACCTTTCACTTCAAGGGGAGGAGACAGCCTGGCAGGGTGATCGAGATGCTTCGGGGCCAGGGAGCTCTGGGTTCACGTCCTGGCCCCACCACTGAGGGGAACAAGTTGACCTGTCTCTGTAAGCCTCAGTTTTGTCCTTTGTAAAGTGGGACTAGTGCTAGTTGCCACCTCAGAGAATACTGTGAGCTCAGATGAGCTAATACATGGAAAATACTTAGTACAAATGTTCTCTTAGGTCACTGGGCATCAGAATCACCTGGAAGGCATAATGAACAGATTGCCCGACTCACAGAGTTTCTGGTACAGTAGGTCTGGGCGGGGCCAAGGGATACGCATTTCTAACAAGTACCCAGCTAATACTAACACTTTGGGAACCACTGACTTGACACAATAGGTACCATTTGGGGGGGAACTCAAGTGCTGACAGAGAGTGATTCCTCCATGTGTGGCACCCCTGGGCCACCTGAGGGGGAGGACAGACCAAAAAGCTCTGCGTCCCAGGCCGTGGCAGCTTGATTGGCATACGGACCCACTGTACTCACTGAAGCCCCTGCCACAGAGCTGTGGCTATGGAAAGGGGCTCAGGACCCCAACTTCCCAGGATCTTTTCCCCCCCCCCCCTTTCAAGAGCCCTGGAGTAAAGCACAGCTTGGTAGCTGGTCCTGGTCTCTCCCCCTTGTGACTTCCTGGGGCTTCTCCCATCGCCCTCAGGCCCAAAGTTGATGCTGTGCCCTTTTCGGCCGGGGTCTGCCAGCTCTTGGGTCAGGCCAACTTGTGTTAGTTCTGGCTCCAGTTCTTACTGGCTGTACTTCCTTGAGCAAAGCCCCTGACCCGTCCGAGCCTCTGTTTCAACACCACCACCACTTCACAGGCCCTTTGAGAGGTTTGACTAGCCATTTTACAGAAAGCGCCTGAATGCCACCTTATTTAAATGACAGGTCTAATTATTAGTATCTCCCTGTGTAATGTGACTTCAGAGACTCTGAACACACACACGGTTCCCAATCAAAAGCTCATCGTATCAAGTTATGCACAACATTTCAAAATCAGAAATCCATCTTTGGGTCCCTGTTCTAATGTACGTTCCCCCTCAATCCCACACGCACTCATGCTGGAATGAGTGTATTTTCTGTCGCAGATCACAACCCAGGGATCTGCATGGCTCAGCGGACCTATTGTCTGGTCTGCATAGGGTTAAAAAAAAAAGTCCCTGAATTAGCTGCTGACATATAACAATAGAAGATTCCATTTAACCAGCTAAAAAACTGAGAAGCTAGGGAGTAGTTTGTTCAAAGTCAACAGTGAAGTGCTGGGATTGGAGCCTGGCTCTCCTGATCCTAAATGTCTGGCTCGTTCTCCTCCCAGACCTGTTTTCTGAAAGTAGTTCTATATCAGGTTGACCAGAGAATCCAAAGCTGCTGGGATCTGGGATAAGGAAGGCAAGGGGAATCCGTAGAGAAAGGGATGCTGCAGTCATTGGGACAAGTTTCTCCTACGCCTACTTCTGCTATGCTTACTCATAAAGCACATGGCTCAGGGGGAGCAGATCCAGGGAGAAGTTTCCAGCCCACTGGGGCCCAGCACCCAAAGCACCCTTTGATGCACGACATCAGTGCTGTCACTTCCCAACTACCACATGGTCCACGGCAGTGGGCATTCCCAAATCTCTCATGTGCCTCCTTGTCTGTGAGGGTGGCTGCTCAGATTTGCAAGTGCACCTTTGGCCCCTCCATTTCTTCCTGACCATTAGAGCCATGGTTTCTTTTTTTTTATTAAAATGTTTTATTTATTTACTCATGAGAGTCAGAGAGAGAGAGGGGCAGAGGCAGAGAGAGAGAAGCAGGCTCCCCGCTGAGCAGGGAGCCCGATGAGGGACTTGATCCCAGGACCCTGGGACCATGATCTGAGCCGAAGGCAGACATTTAACCATCTGAGCCACCCAGGTGCCCCAAAAGCATGGTTTCTTAATATCTTTCCACCTCCACCTGGATCATGCAACCAGTTTCACTGGGCTGGACCATTGGTCCTCCAGCTTCCAGTCTATTCCACACAAAGGGGTCAGTCAGAAGAATCCTTTAATTTTTATTTATATATATGTATATTTATTTTACATATTATATATAGTATATATTATGTTATAATATGTATTATATATTTATTATATTTATATTTATTTATATATATATAAACATATATATATTTTTAGTTGTACCCATGACTGGGAAAATAACTTTATTTTCTTGGGGTTTGGGCAGATGTCCAGTCTCACAACTTCTGGAATTGCTTCCCGGTGTCAGTGGCCTTGGTGACCTTGAGCGTGTAGAAGCACACAGTGTCGCTCAAGGGCTGGCACTCACCCACTGTGACAGTGTCACTGATCCGGACATCCCAGAAGTCGGGGGACAGGGGCTCACATGTTCTGGCGGCTTTTCTCGAATCAGTTGTACTTTCAGATATAGGGGATATATGGTCTCGATGGGTGACAGTGGTCGTCTGCATCTTCATCTTGGTCACCACATCAGACAGAATCCACCCTCTGATGGACACATGACCAGTATAGGGGCACTTCTTCTCAAAATAGGTGCTCTCAGTGGCCTCCTTGTGTGCCCTGAAGCCCAGACCGATGTGTTTGTAGTATTTTGGGAACTTCTCCTTGCCAGTTTCTCCAAGCAGAACCCTCTTCTTATTCTGAAAGACAGTCAACTGCTTTTGGTAGGCATGCTCAGTCTGTATGTCCATCATCTCCTTGGATGCCTGAAAAAAGAAGAATCCTTTTAAAAGTCAGGTCATATGATGCCCCTGTGCAAACCTTCGCTGGGCATTGCATCTCCCACAGAATGTCATCTGGGTCACAACCATTGCTCCGCATTAGCGGGCTCTTGCTTCCACTCAGCACTTACATCGTCCTCTACTCATCTCCATCACCCAGCCCAACATCCAGCATCTTGTTCCTACTCTCAAGATACTTTTCCACCCTGGACCTTTGCACCTGCTGTTCCCTCTGCCCAGAATGTTCTCCCTCCAGAGGTTTCCAGGACTTGTTTCCTCATCTCATTCAGGCTTCTCCCAAACATTACCTCTGGAGGCTTCCCTGCCCCACCCCCACCTAAAACAGCAACCCTCCTCCTCCATCACTCTCCCAACCCTTTACCCTGCCTTATTTTTCTTTAGGACACTATCACCTTCTCAAAGTCTGTTATACATTTCTTTGTTAATTGTCTGTTTCCCCCTCTAGAATCTAGGTTCCTAACTGCAGGGTTCTTCTCTGTCTTGGTCAGCTCATTATTAAATGAATTGAATGAATGGAAGTTTTAATGAGAAGTTTCTAGGACAGAAAGCAGTTGTCTTTTATTCAATACATTATTTTAGTATGAATACATTTCATTTTAGGACTAAAAAAACACATACATACAATGACACCCAAGTCACTACATACCATTCACACACTTTTATTAATGCAAAGAAAATCTAAAGGTAAGATACATTATTTCTTTTCAGTAAGATGTGAACACATGGTTATACTGCTCTTCATCTCTATTGTCAGCTTGGCTCACCCTGAATATGGACGTCACATGGGCCGGCGGCAGTAGGTATGCAAGCTCTGTAGGAAAGGCAGGGGCTGCCGAGAATCACGTTGGGTGAAGCCCGACCTCCCAAACCATGGCCAGCCTGGTGAGGCACAGAGTAGTGAGAGAGGTCAGCAGGTCTGAGGCTGGGCCAGCTGCGGGAGAATCCCAGCTCCCCCACTCACAAGCAGCTGCCTGACCTTGTCAAATAACGTAACCTCTCCAGGCCTGGGTTCTCCATCTGTAAAGCCAGAGTAAACAGGTGGTTGCTATGCACTAAATGTTTTTGCACAAGGCTTATTTACTTTCTCACAAAGGCCCTATTAAACTAGTATTATTATTTCCACTTGACTGATGAGAAAACTGAGGCTCAGAAAGGTAAGCTAATTAGCCCAAGGCCACACAGCCAATATGTTGCAAGCACGGATCCTGTGACGTTAATTGGCAGTCCAGTACTGGCCAGAGAGTGAATGTGAAGATGAAATGAGATCTCTGGGGTGTGCTAAGCACAGTACCTGAAGCATGGCAAGAGCCATGTTTAGGAATTAGTACTTCTGATTTCCCTAATCTAACCGGAAGCTTGCATGATAGCTGAGTCTGGTCCCTTCTCCCACTTGGCAGTCTAGGGGTACTTCTTTATGCACCAGGAGGACAGGCATCATGCCCTCTGCTAATTCTCTCAGCTCAGGGGCCAGTTCTCCCACCTGCCCCCCAGGAGACAGGGTCTCTCTTCAGGCAGAAAGTAACTTCCAGTTTGTTGCTCCAAGGTGTCAGTGGTGACAGCCCCTTTTCTTTCTGAGGGGCCCAGCAGGTTACTGTCTGGCACCCCACCAGCCTGCCACCCCCTGCTGGGCTGGCTTCTGTCTGACCTGTCAGTGGGCTCTTTGAAAGGGAGGTTGATGGTGGGCAGGGGGGAGGGGCCAGGAACAGCGGGGGAGGGTGAGCATTTGGGGACATCCGTGGCTGAGATCAGGGACCCTTGCTCTCTCTTGCCAGTAGTTTTTGTAACAGAACAGCGGGGAGACGGCAGCAGCCAGTATAGAATTCCCCCAGGTATAAAAAACATGGCCCTAGGCTAACAAGGGTGAGGCTGTGCCAGAGAGGCCTGTCAGGGAATGTCCAAGGTGGGCAAACTCTCATCAAGTGAGATCATTAGTCCTGGAGACTCTGTCTGGGTTGAGGAGAGGTGGGGGGGGGGGGGGGGGGGTAGTAAGAGAGAGAGAGAGGCTGAGAGAAAGAACAACTAGAGAATGAAGATGTTTTGTGAAGCCTCAGCATTTCCTCCCCCAGGTCCTACACCATTCACAGGGTACCTTTATATGGCTGTGACTACTCACAGTCTCCTGTGAAGAACTGAGGATAAAAGCCAAATGTAGGCTTTGGAGGTGGACAGCCAAAGCGTGACTCACTCCATTATTTACTAGCTGTGTGATTATGGGCAAGGCTCTTAACCTCTCTGAGCCTCAGTTTCTTACTCTGCAAAATGGAGATTATAGACACCACCCTCGAGTGTCCGAGTGAGCTTATAGGATGATGGCTGCATAACGGGGCAAGGGGCAGGCTGCAGAAGCACAGAGGGGCTTCAGTGCTGGCAAAGGAACAGCCCTATGGAGGTCCACCCGTCACGAGTAGGAGCTAGGACAGAGGGCCAGCTAAAACACTCTGCATCCCAGCTTTTCAAAAAATAAATCTCCCTCCAATATGTCTTTAAATTGTTCCTCTTCAGTTTGACATCATCCTGCCTCAGGTAAAAGAGCTTAGTGCAGGCACTACCATGTCATGGCGGCGGGCACAAGTGGCTCCTCTTGCCATTTGGAATGTTCTACTCTAACCGCCCTTACAGGGCAGCCTCATATAGAATATGGCTTTGGAGTGCAGCGAACTGGGTCAAAAGACAGCCCCAACATGTAGAAGCTGTGTGGTCTTAGGCAAGTTATTTACTCTCTTCCTAATCTCTAATTCCTCACTTGTAAACAATGGGGCTAACGATCCCTGGAATTCTGGTGGTAATTTAACGAAGGGATGCAAGGTAAAGCACTTAGCTCAGTGCCTGAAACCTAGTAAGTTTTTCATAAGTGCCAGCCATTAGCTCTGATTAGACATGGTTGCCATTAATGCTTCATCATCCTACTGACTCCCAGGATGTGTCACCTAACATAGGGTCTCTATGCTGAAATATGCTGGCTTTGGGAGGCACTGGGAGGCCAAGGACAGGGGCTCTGAGCTTATGTGCTAGTTGCTAGTCGTGATGATGTGGTTTGTATTGCATTTAATCACTCCCGAGCATGCATTTTATGAGATCAATCAATCAATCAATTGAATAGATGAAGGTGTGGCTGGTCCTTCCAAAGATAGAGCTCCCAAGCCTAGCACTCTGTTCTCGTGAAGTGCTTCTCAACCTGGATTGTACTAGACTATTGTGGGGAGATGCTCTGGGCCAAAAGGGGTCTGTGGTCAGGAAATGCTGCATGCTCCACTGCAACATTAAATATTTATAATGCATATTCACCCATCGAAGGCTCTGAGAAGTCCTACTGTAAAGAAACTAGTTTAATTGTTTAACCAATGTCTCTCAAGTTGTTTTTGACCACAGATCCTCCAGTGCCACCTCCACTTCTATGTTTCAGGGAACCCCCAGGAGACATAGTTCGGGAAAGCTCCTTTAGTCTCTCAGAGTCAGATGTACTGCTATGGATATTTGAGGGATGTTTTCAGTGATTCAGAGCAGGGGTCCTTGAGTGTTAGCAGGCAAAAAATCACCTGGGAATCTTCTTTAAAATACACACTCTCGGGGTGCCTAAGTGGCTCAATCGGTTAAGCATCCAACTCTTGGTTTCCGCTCAGGTCATGATATCAGGGTCCTGGGATCAAGTCCCACACTGGGCTCCATGCTCAGCAGAGAGTCTGCTTGAGATTTTTCTCTCTCCCTCTCCCCATCCCCCCACTTGCACTCATGTGTGTGCTCTATGTCTCTCTCTATAAATAAATAAATCCTTTATTTAAAAAATGCATATTCTCAGTTTCCACACTCAGAAATTCAGTAGACCTGGGTGACAGCAAGAATCAGCATTTTAAAATCACTGAGGTGGTTCCAGGGCAGGAGGTCAGGGAGCACATCTTGACCAACAGCAGTTTAGTGCCTGACTTCCAGAAATACAGTGCTCAGAACAGCAGCGGCAGCATCACCTGGACCAAAAGAAAGACCAGAGAATTAAAATCTGTATTTTAACAAGGTCCCAGGTTATTTCAATGCTCGTTAGATTTTAAGAAGCATTGGTTTTAAAGGTTTTTATTGATGGTATTTGTTTTGGGTTTTTTTTCCATTTGTTTAGTTTTAATAAACTCAAAAAAAATGGACACACACTGCAAGCTCACTGTCATAAAATTCCTACCAAACCTCACCCTCACCCCCATACATGAGGGGTTGACCAGATGCCCCAGTAACTTCAAGGTAAGCCAAAGTCCTATTAAGAAGTGGTCTTACCTAGGTTATATCCCTGTTTTCAGTAACAGTGCCTGGGTTTTCCTAAGCAGGTTTTGCTTTCTTTGCCACATCCATCCTGAAGAGTAGAAAACCAAGAAAAAGCAGCTCTCAGTGGGGCCTTCCCTCTGCCAGATCTCTGGTCAGACATGATTGATCTTCCATTGCTAAGTCATAAGAAAAGCCAAAGGTGCTTTGGAGCAAGGATTTCTGGCCTTGGAACTCTGAGACTGTCAAAAAAAGAGTTGGCATGAAGCAAGAGGAAAGCTTCCAACAGGCCTTCCAGAAGGAGTGCAAATACAATTTCATTTCTTGCAATATTTAAGAATGGTGGTTGCTCTGGTCGGGAGGGAGGGGATGCCTGTGTAATGATGGTCCATCAGGCAGCCAGGGTATTAATGGCAGGTGAAACCTTCCAAATGAGCACTCTGTCAGCCAATCTATTGCTTTAAAAGGTTGGCAATGCGGGAGACCTAACAGAGGCAATGAAGAACTAATCTCATATTGCCAGGTTAAATCAAGTCAGCCTTGCCTGCTCCTTTCACTTTTTAGTTACATCAAGCCAGAATACTTTCAATTATCCCTCCTTTCCAACTTGTCAGCAGGCATTGGGTAAAATGCAAATGGAACAGTGCCTTCCCTGGCGGAAAGCAGAAAATATCATGAAGAATAGCCTCCATTAGTTGAGCTCTTGC